ATAGAGATCGCTCTTACCACGGAAATGCACGCTTCAAACAAAACAGTCAGTGAAGACGAAGAAGAGGATGATGTGTTCTCCCGGCGCCTATTTATACTATAGTCACACCGGTAGGGACATCATGGCTGTCGCCGGCCAACGTGTTGTTGGTGTTTTTTCAATGAACGCTTTAGACATGGGTCACGACGAGGCGTTCCCTATAGCGACCCCTAGAGGACGCAGTTCGAAGTTCCCATGAAAGGGAACTTAATTTTTTAATAACTTAACTTATTTAAATGTACTTAACAGAATCTAACATTCAATTTAAGCTGTTATTTAATTCTGAAGCATTTGAAAGGAAATGTATGGAGTCCGTCTTACCTTAAGTCCTTTTAGCCTGTGAAGGAATGGTCCCTCCGTCAAATGGGGATCTGCCAGTCTGGGCAGATGAAGATGACAATTTCCTCCTCTATTTAATTTTCCTAGTCCCCCTAGACTTCTAGGCACCTCACTTAAAGGGATACTCCACCCCAAAATGAAAATGTTGTCATTAATCACTTTCGTTCCAAGTCGTTCCAGTCGTTCCAATCCCCTAAAAGCTTAGTTCGTCTTCGGAACACAATTTAAGATATTTTGGATGAAAACCGGGAGGCTTGTGACTGTTCTATTGACTTCCAAGTAAATTGCACTGTCAAGCAGTGTTGGGCAGTAACGCATTACTTAGTAACGCATTACTGTAATTTGATTACTTTTTTAGTAACGGAGTAATATAACGCGTTATAATTTTCAAAATAGTAATTAGAGTATAGTTACAAGCCAAGTCTCTATACGTTACTGCCGCGTTACATTGCTGACAGAATGCAGTGTTTTATAATCTAGAGATTGTAAAAAGGATGTAGCACATGCGCTGTCGAGTCAAGTGCCAGTGGATTAGAGACCTGCTCCCACGAGACCCGACGCAACAGAGTGAGGCGCGGGACAAGATGGGCGAGTGCTTCTGCGGGCGGGTAGACGCTCGTGTGTGTGCGGGATGCAGGAGAATAAAATGATTCACGGGACTCCCGCAAACTAGAAATATCTAAACATAAAATTTCTAAAACAAATAAATTGTTATTCATCTATTGCACAAAAGCAACATGAACTAATATAAAATATAAAAGATTAACAGTTGCAAGCGTATGCGGTTTCTATTTAGGCTATAACACGTGTTTGCAGCGTTGAGCAATGCAGTGCTGAAATGTATTTATTTATTTACATATATTTATTGTGTTATAACAGAGATTTGTGAGATTGCGATGAACTGAGATGTGTTTTAGAGATTATAAATGCAGCGCTCTTTGCTGGCATTCTGCCATGCCAAACCATGCACGCAGCAGCCGCTTGCTTTAGTTAAAAATAACAGTTTTCTGTGAATGCTGATGCTTCAATAACAAATATTTATTGGGAGCGTGTATGCTGGGATTTCATAAATTTAATGGAGAAATAGTAACGTAACTAGTAATGTAACTAATTACTAATTACTTTTGAAATAAAGTGATTGCATTTTCAGAGTAACTTGCCCAACACTGCTGTCAAGGTCCAGAAAAGTATGAAAGACATCGTCAGAATAGTCCATCTGCCATCAGTGGTTCAATCTGAATTTTATGAAGTGACGAGAATACTTTTTGTACACGAAGAAAACAAAAATAACGACTTTATTCAACAATTTGTCTCCTCTGTGTCTCTCCGCATCACCGTAGCTTAATTTTGGAAAACATCCGCTGAACTCAAACTGCGTACGCTCTTCTGCAGAGAGATGCAGAGAGACACAGAGAAGACGAATTGTTGAATAAAGTCGTTATTTTTGTTTTCTTCGTGTACAAAAAGTATTCTCTTCGCTTTATAAAATTCAGATTGAACCACTGATGGCAGATGGACTATTCTGACGATGTCTTTCATACTTTTCTGGACCTAGTCTATATGGGACAGTCACAAGTCTCCCGGTTTTCATCCAAAATATCTTAAATTGTGTTCCGAAGACGAACGAAGCTTTTAGGGGTTTGGAACGACATGGGGGTAAGTGATTAATGACAAAATTTTCATTTTGGGGTGGAGTATCCCTTTAAGTTTAACTGGGGCATCTCTAGAGACACCCAAACGCGTCTCTGGCGACACTTAAGAATTATACTCTTAGCGCGTCTCAAGCGACACCCTGTTGCGTTGGTGGCGTCTCACCCCTTTTGAAAACTATCACTTGGGACTAAGATCTCTAGTGCTCTACTAACCTGCTGCACAGCAGTAACCAGACAGACTCCAAACAATGCCTTTGATTATGCTTTAAATATGCTGATTACTTCAGCTTGTTCCTTAAACCATGTATCGTTATTAGTATTTCTAGACAGATGTCTTGTTCATGTATTAAACTCCTCAAGGTTAGCATTTCTGTTCCCTAACACATACTCAAAAGTTAGGCCTGCAAGAAAAAAAGTGTTAGACATCATTTGTGATCAACTGATTTTATGATTAATTTAAAATTGATTAAATGTAAAATTTATTTCACAGCATACAATTGCACATATCAACAGATAAGACAGATTTGCAGAAACCCCAATTAAAAGAAGATTCATTGTTTACTGATTAACTGTGACACTGTGTGTTCTGTAGTGTGGATCATGGAGGAGAGATCAGGATTACAGCAGGACTACGCAAATGTATGTATATATACACTCTCTCTCTCTCACACACACACACACACACCTGATAAATTGTACTGAGACACTGCTGATACTGTATATTGAACATGAAAAGTTCAGCTACATTAAAAGATCAGACAGATTCATAATTCCTGATACTAGGGGCAGAAAGAAATTAATTATTTTATTATTATTGAATTATTACAGAAAGATCTTAACTTAAGAATCCTATCTTATCTTTTTGGTTATTGTGGCAATTTCAGTTATAACGTCATTTAGGACAAAATCTATAGCAGAATTATATTTATGTGCATAATTTTATTTTAACTACGGTTAGGAAAAATGATATTACAGAAGAATACTAACTGTATAACAAAATAAATAAAAACTGTATTTATCTAAAACTGTCTTTACTTTAGGACAACCCCACATTTCTTAAGTGCATTATTATCAATGGTTTCTTGGTAACAGACCTGAGAGTTGCGTACTGAACTCACGATTTTCTAACAACAGATAAAATGAGATTTTGTAAAATAAGAATCCTAAATCAAGTTAAGATTTGCTTCTGTAATACGAATTTGTGAAAAATCCTAAATTAACTTGTCAGATCTTAACTTATAACTTAAGATAGAATGTTTCTGTAATACACCCCTGAAGTGTTTTCTCTCCATCAGATTCCTGTCAGCTCACTTTGGATCCGAACACAGCGAATAAACGCCTCCATCTGTCTAAGAGGAACAAAGTTGTTACTGTTACTCTCAAAGATCAGTCTTATCCTCGTCATCCAGACAGATTTGGTGATGTGATTCAGGTGTTGTGTGAAGAGAGTGTGTGTGGACGCTGTTACTGGGAGATTGAGTGGTCTTGGGATGATATTCATGTTGATATATCAGTGTCATATAAGAGCATCAGCAGGAAGGGACGGGGTAATGAGTGTGTGTTTGGACGTAATGATCAGTCCTGGAGTTTGATGTGCTCTGAATTCCGTAACTCGTTCATACACAATAATATAAAGACTAAACTCCCTCTGGAGCCCATCAGAATAGGAATGGATCTGCAGAATAGAATAGGAGTGTATGTGGATCACAGTGCAGGAATTCTGTCCTTCTACAGAATCTACAAAGGCACAATGAGCCTAATCCACACAGTCCAGACCACGTTCACTCAGCCACTCTATCCTGGGATTAGGTTTCGTTCTCCATTGTTTATTGCCATCAATGAAGCAGTGAAACTGTGTTGATGAATCAGAATACATTCTAGAGAGATTTTACCCATAATGCTTTGATATCTTCATGATAAGCCAGTGACTGTCACACACTGGCTTGACTAGATAATCCAAGATAAGAGGTTTGACGCAGAAAGACAATGAACAATTATATTTAATAAACATCAGGGATAAACACCAGCACAAAACGTTAACACAAGACAATGAACATAAAATGACTAAGGGTTTAAATTGACTAGATCAGTGGTCCTCAACCACGCTCCTGTTTCTGGCTTCCAAGGCCAACTCCTATCTATTTGAATGGGGGAATCCTGAAATCTCAAAACCTGCTTGTTAATGTCAGGGTTAATGGGCTAATGTCAGGATTGTGTGATGTTGAGTTTCACAAGAAAAGCCATTAAAAAACTCATATGGTTTTGTGTATAAGATACATATAAGAATACAACCTCACTAGCCCCTTTCACATAGTAATCCTGTTAAATTTCCATAAAATTATCAGAACGAGTTTACCGGTAAATACACAAATGTGCTGTTCATACAAACAACGGCGTTCCCTCTTTTTACCGGTAAAATACCAGTCACACATCAGTTCCAAAATACTGGTAAACTCAGTGATGTCAATTATCCACCTGTGGAGAAGCGCTTTAGTTTCGCTCTCTGTCCAATTTGACTTCATCGATTTTACTTCTAAGTCACAGGCGAAAGCAGATGATCACACAGAACGCGGTTTTGCTCTTAATAACATGACACATGTAATAGTTACGATAGTTGTTATGTTAGGCTAGAGTTGAGGATTCAAACACAGCTTTTATTCGAAAGAATAGTCAAAACACCAGTAAAACAGTAACATCCAAAGCAAGACAAAAGAGTAATCCAATAAACACGCAATGGTCAAACAATAAAAAAATGGATAAACAGTCCAAGGATCAAACAGGCAAGGAAAACAAGGAATCAGAGAAAACACATAGACTAGAAACACGCTTCAGGCTAACAATACTCAGCAGTGCGAGTGTGTGTGGGTGCATCTTTTATAGTCCTCCTGATTGGAAACAGGGTGTGTCTGTAAATAAGTTCTGATGCAGGGGTTATGGGAAATGGAGTCCAGGTTGAATGACAAGGGTAAGGGATGGAGTGCCCTCTAGAGGAGCTCATGGGCACTCCGGCTGGAGATCGTAACAATAGTACAGCAGTTATTATAGTACGCAACAGTAACTGCAAAGCAACACGCTGATGAATGGAAAAGAAAGAAGTCTTGTTGTCTTTAGCACAGGACGCAGCATAAAGATCAGATGTCCATCTAGCACATATTTACATAGATTAATAATTAAAAGCAGTGAAACTTACCATATAAACAGCTCCGACACAGCTTTATGATTGGCTGAAAACAGATGTCTTACGTCAGCGCGTTCTTGCATTGTATGTGCTCATTCCGGTAATCTCCATTCCTCATTCACACAGCGCATGTTACTGGTAATTTACTGGTAATGTTACAACTTCTCATACCGGTAAATTGGCAGAATTAATTTACTGGTATTTTTGAAAAGGTCCTGTTCACAAATGATCTCTTAACGGTAATTTACCAGTAAAGATTATAGGTGTGAAAGGGGCCACTGTTTCCACAGAGAATTTTCACATAAGAATACTTTATATGATGTATTATGGGGCTTTTATTTTGAAATTCAGCATCAGGCAGTCCTGAATCTGAGTGATAGTCTGTGGAAACATATTGGGTGCTTCTCGAATGGAAGGCTGCATCCTACAGAGGCAGCATCCTTCAGTGGCTTGTAGGCTAAGAGTCCACCTCAGCATTAGACACTTGAATCAGACGGTCTAGTAAGTGTGCATGGCTGCATCATACATGTTCCCGCCCCCACCATCACGGCATGAAAATACCAATAAAGCTTAATTTTGGAAAAATACTTTGTAGTAAAAATCTTTATAATATCTGGGTTTCTATTAATGCAATACAGTGAATTACAGCTGTCTGCGGTCTCCCAGTGGCTTACATTATTGGCAGTTTAGTGTTAAGTGACTAATTTACACCCCAAAAAAATAATAATAAAATAACATCTATGCTTTCATGTCTGAAAACATTATTTTTGTCTTACATTTCATGATAACTTCAGACAAGCTCAGTGCCGACTCGTTTTCTGTCAGTTTATTTTCGTGAAATGGAATGTGTACAAAGGATTGTGGGTGATCAAATGTCGAGAAGGATACATCCCATGCATCCTTCAAATTCAGTTGGCTGAAGGCAATCTCAAGGATCCTGCCTTCCAAGGATCCTTGAGATGGCCTTCAGCCACTTTTGATGACGCTGAGATATGCAGCCTTTGTAGAATGCAGCCTTCTGTTTGAAAAGCACCCTAAAATTCCTTTAAATACAGAAAAAAGAAGCGAATAAAAACAATATAATTGATGTTAGAAGGCATTTATTTTGAAGTTAGTCATCTTACTGAGAGAAAAATGTGTTGTTTAATATGTTTAAAATACTGTAAAAGATTTTATCTTATAAATCTATTACTTCTGTCTCCATTTCACATACAGATTTGCAGATCTGCAATCATAAACCACAGTTTTAAGGTGTAATTTCAAATATATATATATTGTTATGAACACCTTGTGCAAATGAATGAATGCATGACAGTCAATATTTTTTCATCTTGTTTGGACTCTATTTGTTTGGAATATTGCCAAAGGTATTCTGGTGGTCCTTTGGAAATTGAGAAATACATTAATAAAACTTTAAAGACACTTTAAAGACGTCTGGCTGTGTGCTTTAAGCAAATGTGTTCCACAGGACAAAGAAAGGTGGGCCACACTGTGTGCCCCCGGTCGCCGTGATTTTGCCAAGTAAGACATTACTGCCAACATTACTGTCCAAAAATACAGACTTAACCCAATCCCTACCCCTAAACCTAACCTTACCCATAATTTATTCCTAAAATCAGAGGGAAATGATAGCTGATTAACAAGGGTGTAGAAGCACCTAATCCTGATTGTAAGCCTAAAACTGACATTTCCTGAAAAGTTATCTCCCAATTCTGATTGGTTGATTGGAATGATGTTCCTGGAACATGTTGTACTTGATCAAATCACGCTCACCATGTGCCCCTCTGATGCCAGCAGTCAATCACATCGGAAAGGGATAAGGTACTCTTTCAACAGACAGTCCTTGTTCTGAGTGTGTCCTGCATGAGACTGTAACAGATCAACCATGTTCTGGGTCTCAGTCCTGTAAGGGGAGAGACATTAATGGCTCATTTTCACCAAATGGTACGGCTCAGTACAGTACAGTATGGTATGCAATTATTTCCAGAAGTTGTGAATGGTACCAAAATAGTGAACCGTACCATTACCACTTTTTTAAGACCCTTCTGTAAGGGTACCAAGCACAATAATACTGTACCTAAAGGGTGTGTCATGGATGTTGATTGGTTAAGGTTGTTGAACATGCGCAGTAGAGAAAGGGAGAAGTGGGGGTGCATCAAGAAAGTTCTTCAGTAAAAGGAGAGTGCAAGAAACATATGAGTGGACTCTTTTTTTATTTTACATAACATGGTGTAAGAAGCTGTTGAATTGAGTGCAGCGTGAACGCATCCTGCAGAATGGCATAGTTTAATCCCCTGGAGCGGTTTTCTTTTGAAAATCCCTCAGAATGGCCTGAATGGAAGCAGCGTTTTTTTCTCTTCAGAACTGCAACAAAACTAAACAAAGATGACGGCCCTTTACAGGTCAGTTCTCTACGCAATGGGACTTGAGGAAGAGAAAATTTTAGCTTCCTTCAGCTTTGATAATGAGGAAGATAAAAATACATTTGATTTTGTGCTGGCAAAATTTGAGGAGTATTTGATCCCGAAAAGAAATGTAATACATGAGCGTGCATGCTTCTACCAGAGAAACCAGCTACCGGGGGATAAAGAGTAGATGTATATTCGCTCGCTGTATGAACTAGCCGCAAATTGTGAGTTCGGTGACAAAAGAGATGAGCACATTTGTGACCGGCTAGTGGTCGGGATAAGAGACAAAAGTCTTTCCCAGAAGTTACAACTAATGCCTACACTGACGCTAACAGAGGCGATACAACATGTAAGGCAATCAGAAGACACTGCAGTGCAAGTGGGTCTGCAGTTGCGTGAAATGGGGCGAGCTCGTCCAACAAGTTACGCACGGAATGCCTATTAGAGGGAGGGGGAGACACACACACAGAGCGCGGGGCGCAGCAGCACAGAGCAGCACAGCTTGATACGGGAATGCACAGAACTGCAGTAGATGTGGTAAGAAACAGCACGCAAAAGATGAAATATGCCCTGCAACAAAAAGTACATGTAACAAATGCAATAAGAAATGACACTGGCAGAGGATGTGTAAAACAAAGGCAGTAAGAGAAATAACAGAAGAAATGGAAAATGCATTGTTCTTAAGGAAAATAAGGAAACAAATGAGGAACATTGGACAGTTGAAGTGAAAATTGGCCAGACACCACTTGACTTCAAAACTGATACAGGAGCTGATGCATGTGTGATAAGTGAGGAAACGTTTAAACAGCTAGTGCCAAAGAAAGAACTGTACCAAGCAGAAGCGGCACTCAGCACCCCAGGAGGCAAACTCAAATGTTTAGGACAATTTCATGCAAAAATGACATACAGAGGCAAGTGTTGCTCTCATCCTGTGTCTGTACTTTCAGGAAAGGAAGCAAATAACCTGCTGAGCAGAATGGCAGCCACAGACATGGGTCTCGTAAAACGGGTAAATTAAATAAAAGATGTGTTTCAGCAGGGAGGAAAGCTGAAAACAGAACCAGTGAAAATCATCTTAAAAGAAGGAGCTGAACCCTATGCAGTGCATGCATCAAGCCGCGTACCTCTTCCGCTTCTGCCTAAGGTGAAAGCTGAACTGAGCCATATGGAGAAAGAGGGCATCATTGAAAAGGTGACTGAGCCAACGGAGTGGTGCATGGCCATGGTTCCTGTGCTAAAGCCCAATGGAGACGTTCGCATCTGCGTCGATTTGAG